TCCGTGCCATCATGAAAGAGAATGGAGGAAGGAGGCCAGCTCTTCTCTGGAAATCTGACGCATCTCAAGCTTACCGACGGCTACCAATGCACCCACGATGGCAGGCACGGCAGGCAACACTGATTGACGGGAAGTACCATGTGGACCGATGTGCAGTCTTCGGGAATCGGGCCTCTGGCCGGCTGTGGTGCTTGTTCTTCGGACTCGTATGTTGGATTGGAATCCATGTTTGCGGGATACGAGGTCTACTTCACTATGTCGATGATGCATTCAATGCAAGCTTCGACAATGAACTTGAACTTTATCCCCCATACAATAGGGAGTTACCACGAGGCCAGACAAGATTCCTTAAATTGCTCGACCACATCGGAGTCCCACACGAGTCGGCCAAGCAACTCTTTGGGACCCAGCTTGAAATCATAGGCTTCCTCGTTGACGCAGAGCAACTCACGATATCCATCTCAGAAGAGGCAAAGGGAAGATTCTGCGCTGCGATACGAAAGTTCGTCCTTGACACCCCGGACAATCTGCGAAGGCAACCTCTGAAGGACTGGCTGAAGACCCTTGGGTATTGTCAGGGCACATACCCTGACTTAGCCCGGACCCGGACCCGCGTCCGGACCCGCTCCACTTCCCACGCACTTCCTGCGCCGCACGCTCTGCGCGCCGCATGATCCGACCCGGATCCCACCTCATGTGACTTCCGGGTATCCCCGGAAGTTTTCGCCATATTGGGGCCACTGTGGGAAAGTGAGAAGTTAACCTTCTTCTCACTTTCTTACCCACAGTAGGCAAGTGTAGCCTACTCTTCATTTATCTATACACTTTCTTACCCACAGTAGTTATGCCCTGAGATGGGCTGTGTTTACAGGCTAGACTGTGGACTGTAGAGAGGGGTCATGGGGACCCGGGGTCCGTCCCCTGACAGGTATGCGAACTGGGTCCTCAACGTATTCCCACTTCTCAAGCCGGCGCTGAACTCGTCATATGAGAAAATCGCAGGGAAGCAGATGATGAATCAAAGCATCTATATAAACAAGCAGGTACGAAATGACCTACTATGGTTTGCTGATTCAGTAGAGCGGATGGAAGGAGTTCGCATGCTGAACGCCGAATCATGGGGGCCAAGCGATGCTGATGTGGTTGTATGGGGAGATGCCTGCAAGATTGGGCTCGCATTCTGGGCACCGAAATACAAAGCTGCGTATATTGGCGACCCGGTAACCCAACCTGACGAGGCATTCAACATATTCTACAATGAAGCTATCACAATACTCGCGGCACTCCAATGGTCTACAACAATATCCCCCCACCGAACGACTCGCAATCTACACCGATTCGACAAACTCACTGAACATTTTCAACTCGCTCCGCGCGACAGACCTGTACAACCCAGTCCTCATGACGGCTGTCTCGACACGGATAGAGCACAAGATCGACCTCCGCGTCTTTCTAGTGGAAGGGAAGCGGAATGTTGTGGCAGATGCACTGTCGCGACGCAATTTTGAATTGGTGAAAGGTATGTACCCGAAGCTGGTCATCAAACACTTCATGCCTCCGGCGCTTATGAAGCTGGGGCATTGAAGAAATGAATGATCAGAGGCGCTCCAAGACCCGTCAACCACAGCGCGAGCCTTGGTCCCTGGAGCGCCTCCGGGAGGCTCGAGCAGCTGCCCTGGGAGCCGCTCTTGAGCCTAGCACTGCTCGTACCTATATGTCAGCGCTAATGTCTTACATCAATTTCTGCGACCTCCACCATTTCCCACTACGACCAACGATCGACACACTCACCTTTTACATCGTCTACATGTGTGCCCACATCCAACCAAACTCGGTCTCTTCGTATCTTTCAGGTATATGTTCGGAACTTGAAGCATACTGGCCGGAGGTCCGCGACACTCGCAACTCAAAACTCGTCTCGAGAACTCTAACTGGATGCTCCAAAATGTTCCGCACTCCAGCTGTCAGGAAGAGGGCTCTAACCGAAAGTGACTTGCGGACCGTTCTACAATCAATCCCACCTCAGCCTTCACATGACGATATGCTCTTCCTTGCAATCACCTTCACAGGATGGCACTGCCTCATGCGGCTTGGCGAACTAGTGGACAGCGCACTGCGCAACTACCGAAAATCAATAAGAAGATCTTCAGTTAGATTCCACTCCGAACCGCGACCTCACTACGCGTTCATCTTACCAATGCACAAAGCGGACAGGCTGTTTGAAGGCTCAACGGTCGTGCTAGAGAGACGAGACAGTGACTTAGACCCCCTGGGAATCTTCGAACAATACCTGAACGCTCGAGACTATCGATTCCGACACCTCCCCGATTTATGGCTGCGAGACTCAGGAAAGATCCCCACCCGGTCCTGGTTCTTGGGCAGACTGCAAGGAGTCATCACGACGGGAGATGTTGCAGGCCATTCCTTGCGCTCGGGTGGTGCAACGGCGTTAGCACTTGCAGGTACTCCTTTGGAGCGGATACGCGCTATTGGAAGGTGGTCTTCAGAAGCTTTCCTGATCTACCTGCGCCAAAACCCGATACTGATCCAAGGCACATTGGGGGACGATCAGCATTCGACGGCCAGCGTGCAGATCATTGAGTCTAAGTACTCACCACCAACCACCCCTCCACCAGCCATTATACGTGTACAAGTTACGGCTCGCATCGCTGGCGCACAATCATACGCATTGCAGGTCCATACGGACCGTGTCCACTAACTCATGGACCGCTCACGGAACCGAACTGATTAGTCTCAGTTTAATCCCATTTCACGTGACTAATCAGGTGGATCCGCGCGCGCCTCAGAGGAGGCCGTCTTGTTCTGCACTGTCGCAGTGCGGATGGAACAAGACGGACGAAACCCTCCTCCGGGCCCAAACTTGGTCTCAGACCAGCTGCGGGAAGAGACAAGTTGCATCCGGGAGCGAGATAAATAGCGCACCTTATCCACTCCCCACCTGCCTGCGCAATCGTACTACAACGTCTAACTGGTAAGTTAACGGTAGTGCGATGAGGCTTCTAACCGTGTGTGCTGGCCCCGCTCCTCAGGCCTGCACACGGTTATCCCTGCTCTCGCTATCCACTAAACGCGCGCTTACTCTTACTTTCATAGTTCTTAACTGAATCTCCGCGCTTCCCACCTCCTTCCCCATCGCCTCCGTTGCGTTACATCATTTTTTCACTTGCTACCCTCTCCTGCATTTACTATTAATGTATTTAATTGACGTACGGCTCGCATCGCTGGCGCACAATCATACGCATTGCAGGTCCATACGGACGTGTCCACTAACTCATGGACGCTCACGGAACCGAACTGATTAGAAGGCTTTTCTCTTAACTCATTAATTTACTGTAAACGTTGAGAATGGCCGCAGCCGGCCGAGGGCTCAAGAGGCCTGCCCTCGGACTGACGATGAAGAGTTTTTGACAAGCATCACCAATTCAGCTACGTTCCCAATGTGGGACTTGATGGTACAGCGTCAAGTACGAGCTCAAGAATCAAATTTCGAACTCGCAAGTGGTGTGTAGATAGTAAGTAGAGTGAGAAACCATCCAACACAAAATAAATTCGGGACAACTCCGTTACGGTACGGCTTATGTAGAAGACAATGTACTTGACTCATGCCTTGCCTTCAATTCAACAGGTGTCCATCGATGGCCAGACAGTGCATTTTCAGTATCAACAATACTGTACTATAACGACCATAGGTTCATTCCCACGGTTTTCGGGGATTGCCATCTCCTTCTTGCATAGTTCATCTCTCAGTGTGACATGCGCCACACATCACGTGAAATCTTAAACTGAATTGAAACTGAATTGATTTGCTGATTCCGGCAACTCCCGGATTTCGTGGGAACCAGTTGTCAATACATTTATCTGTTCAAAGTCTCGCTGTGACATGTGACAAAACCTACTTTAGTTCAGTTCACAGTTTGCGTGTGACATGTGACTGAACCAATGGTCGTTATAGTACAGTAATGGAACAATGTCATTTGACATCGTATGCACTGTGCAGGCAAGGGATTCCTCAGGCAGGAAGAAATATGAATCATTGCCTAATGAGTGTGAACGATACTAGACAGTCCAGTTAACAATGTCTAAGGACACCTCCCCTGCTGAACCAAGGCAGAAGCATGAACTATCGGTTACGATGTATAAAAACTGCATAGGCACTTTTCTGTGTGCCACACCGCACGTGCAGCAATGCATTTCCCCAGGTCGCAATTAATCCCAGGCACACGACGGCGAGCTGGCCTTTATTTAGGAGGCAGAGCCCTCCCGCTATGAACCTTCAGGCAGGAACTTGCTGCGAGAGCTGTAGAAGGTTCCACCAAATATATATAATATTGCATCTCCTATTGAGCCCAATAAGTAATTGCGAAAGAAAAACAACAGAAAAGGAGAAAAGAAAGCCTAAACAAGAGCATGAAGAAATACAATGGAGAACAGAAGAAAACAAGAAGCACTTCAATAAAGCGTAGAGGGCAGCGCTTGACGGAAGAACATGCAAAGCAAGAGGACAGGAGGTTGTAAACTGGCAAGGCTGATCTGAGCACGTTGGACGAACAAGCCATGACGAGGTGCCAGTACGCGTAGCAGTTACTGATATGGTACCATGCGTTACATGTTTCACCGTTGACTGCGTCCCACATACAGCGCTTACGCGCATCTTATTCCGTTATCAATTTTGTCTCATATCATGTTAGTTTAGCTACTTATACCGCTGTGCAGTTACAATGTTATTATAAGTGAGATCCTCCCCCGTTTGAGTATCCCCGCTGAGTGCTCCATAACAAGAGAGCATCCACTCAAACATCAGACTGCTTGCACAGCCCCGTATTTTGGCCATCATTTACATGGAGTGCAGTGCATAATACAGTACAGGTTTTGATAGTTTTTCGTAGCGATAAAATGTCAGATCGAACTCCAGCCCACGTACTTGCCGAAGCCGGAGGCGAAGTTTGTTGATTAACTTGGGTGTTTTCTATTAATCGGAACTATTTGTGTCTGTACAACAACAATGGGCTGACGAAGTCACGCCCCATCATCCCAACTTTCTGGTATGTCAGCTTGAGGCTCGCTATCTCGCTGTGGCGAAGATGGGCCAGCAAATCTTCTAGGATAGGGGACGGCTGACGGCTGGTTGCACGCCCAGAAGTTTCTGAAGGGGGCTTGGGCAGTTGAGCACTGGTAGATGTCCCGACCAGCTTCAGAGTCGTGGCTCCGACAACAGGAGGTCTTGGAGAAGGAACTATTGGACTCCATGAAGACTGAGCAACTGCCTTCTTGGCCTCAGTAACTGTTAGCCTCTTAAGCATAGTTGCAGCTTTTGATAGGAGCGGATCCGGCACCCTTGTATCAATGCGCTTGGTCAACTGGAGGCTGCGAAGTTTGTTAGCTTCATGGATCGGGGGTTTATCAGACAGACTGCACACCTCCGATGAGGCTCCTGGTCCACTTCTTGAACACCCATTCGGTAGACTTCGGCTACCTGTATCAACCCGATTGATTATGAGTATTTCACATCGTAGAAACACCACACCTTGTGCACAAACTCCCGGCGAGCGGGTGGCATATGGGGAAGGATCTGAACACGTTTTTGGGCTTCGATAAAGCTAGGCATGAGTTAGCCTCAACTCTTTCGCTATGGGGCATAAATTGTAGCTTACTCGCTCAGCGTCTTTTCGACAAGCTGTACAAAAGGACCGTTCGCCCCGGCAAATGTGAGCAACTCCTCAGGCCATGTAACAGGGAACTTGCTCGTCCTTGATGAAGCTGTGTCGATCCCAAGGGCTTCAGCGAGATTCTTGTTCCGCTTTGCATAGCGCATTCTTGGTTGCATTTGAGCTGCGAGGAGCCGGATCTACGAGATGCGAGATTGCTGGTGCAAGAGCCACAAGTCGCTGGCTGTTGAATTCGTCCGCATTCACAACGGAGAACAACACGGGCTGTGCAAGGCTCATCTTCAAGACAAGCAGAGGGAGCATGGCTGAAAGAACGCAGATATGTCAGCGCTATGGAACTCGAGGGCGGGACAAGGCTCACCAGGGATGAGTACAGCCGTGTTGCCAAGGCTGACTGTTCGGTGAAAAGGAGGCGTTATGAAACGGTAAAATATCAGCAACTCACACTCACCAGGATTTACGTGGCTTCCCGCAGGTCCGAGTACAAGTCCCACAATCGGCTTCGTGACATGTTCTGCCGCATGAATGGAAACCACAATCTAAGAGTCTGTGATGATTGATCAGCAAATAAACACTGCACAGCAATGATTGGGGACTCACCTGCCGCAAACTTTACCACATGGTACCTTCTCTTGAGAACAACTAGGACCAGATAAGTCATGGACGTCATCAAGAGAATGAATACACACCGTATGTTATTCACATTGGTTTTTCCGCAAGCACAGAGCTTCGTGATCAGGTGAGGACAAGGGGGGCAAGGTCCGTCCTCGTGACATGGGTGTGGCGTTTTGGGGTGACCACATGCAGGATCAGGACGCACACAAGGGAAATTACATTGAATCTAACAGGGAGGAACGGATGGGCTGGGACCCGAATCTCATGATGCGAAACGCATACCTGTGTCCCACAAGCAACTGGTGGCTCAAGCACTGTCCTACCGCAATTGCATACGGCCTGGTTTAAGATTAAACAGATCAGTTTTGAACGACAGTAAAAGAGTACACAGCTTGACTCACTTCTTCAAAGCTGGATTGCAAACATGGTGGACATATACCTCGATGGTCTTGGAGCTCACATCGGTGCTTCCCACAACTTAGTGGCTTGTTGCATGGCTACCGCCAAAATTTCACTCATCACGCACTCGGAAAGCTAAGGCGAACTTACGAAATTGCAGGCATGCCATCCTTGCACATCTTCCGCTTCGAGTGTCGCAGCATCTACCAATGGTTCTGCAGCCCTCCGCTTCTTATTCCTTCTGCTTGTTTCGCATGAGCGGCTAGGGGGCAGCAATCCCTATTACAAGCATGCTTCCACAATGCCTCATTGCTGTGCACCTTGTTGTGCATGTTACCTCGTTATTGCCTTGCAGTACTTGGAGCTGACGTGCCGAGCATGACACGTATCTTACCGTCTCCCCACATCGGCAGGGGACAGAAATTTGTGTCGAACATGGGGGGCACTCGCCAGTGTGGCAAGGGACAAGACAGGGATGGCTACATGTTTGAAGCTCTTTTCTACAAGTCGATCCGCATGTTGGTATGGAATCTGTGCAACTCGATCGTGAGGCACTGAGAGGAGTTTTGCCACATGGGCAAGTCTTGACTACGGAAGGATCGCTCGGACACGAGAGCTCGGAGAGAGGGTGAGGGTGACATGGCTATGATTGAACAACGGGTTAGTCGATAGTGATAACATATTGAGAAGTGGATCATTAACTTTTTGGCACATGTGCACCCCGCAAGAGAATAGCGTCTCGCAGCTACTACTGCACTGATACCTCCCCTCCCACTCCTCGCGCGACACGATTCCACTGGTGGAATTGTTGGGGTTATGTACTTTGAAACAAGGCGCAGCATCTTCACCCCGAAAGCCACAATCAGCCTGCATTTCATCCTTTCCGCAGAAACAGCGAACGTTCTCCCGCTGGGAGCACGATTGGCAAGGTCCAATGTGACAAATATTGTCACAACGATGATTGCGGCACCCAAGTACCTTGCCACACTGCCTTCCACATGATAGGACCAGAGATGAGGCCGTAGGTGAGCTGTCTAGAGCACGTGAACACGTAAGAACAAGTGTTTCTCTCTCACATGGCATTTGCGCTCAATGGAGAGTAAACAAGGAGGGCAAGGACCAGGGTGGCATGACCTAGTGCAAAAAATCAGCTAGGTGTGACAATATGTTGCCAAAATTGGCCTACATCGAGCAAGGATGTTCACAATTCCTCGGTCTACAGCAACCGCTGCCACAGCTGTGCGGCGTGATGAGCCGTGAGCCTTCGGGATCCTGATCGCGTCCACAGAAGCACCTGAATATAAGCATTATAGCACAGCTTGTCAGACCTAAAGAAGACACCGGCTCACCGATAGGTCTGGGGCACTACAGATCGCTTAGTCTGACAACCTGGACATCGCCATTCACCGTCTTTACTCTCCCCCGTGCTCTGTAGGCATCTAGGGTTTCCTTGTGACCTGGAGTTATATAGAGAATTCATCATGTGAGTTAAACAAAACAAACAATCCACCCATTGGACGTACTTTTCGACGCCCAAGATCGTATACACTTCAGGTGGAAAGAGGTCCAACAGCATGTCTCAACATGCTCGGTAGAGTCGGGAGAACAGGACCAGATAGGTTGTGCGGGGTGGATAGAGTTGAAACAAATTGGACAATCAAGAGCATCATCTTTATTTGTAAATGAGCGAATCAAACGAGTAGCAAGGTCCTGAGATTCAGTCAAGTCGAGTTCTCCCTTCAGCTTCCTGCCTCTTCTCCTATTCCGTGGGATGGGGGTCTTGGTTGGGGAAGATGAATTT